CAATTATATTGTTTAATATATATATATAAAGTAATATTTTGTTTTTGTCGCTTGTCAGGATAGAATATATTTTACTTCCCAAAAATAGAAAAAACAAGTATTTGTTGACTTCAATTTTAAACCATCCCATGACATCAGAAATCCATAAAAGATAACAAAAAAAATGTTTTGGCAACAATTTCTCAATGTATGCCAAATTGTTATAAAAAATATACAGCCCGTGTACATTGTAGTTAATGTTAAAGTAATACTAGATACAAAAAACTATTGTATTATGACGTATAAAAAGTAAATGTTTTGTAGTTCGTAATTTCTTCACTGTTTTATTATCTTATCTATTTATCAATCAATTACATCACTTACATGAATTGTGGGAGCAGGTGATAATAATTTTTCTCGTTAATACCGTTTCACCGCTGGAGTATTAATGCAAGTGGTTTAAACGCGTAGATGACCGATCTCCAAGTCTAAAGATAGATTTTATATTTTGGCAAGAATTTAACTAGACCGACAGCACGCGGCAGACTCGAAATTAGCGACTTACAAGTTTGCGGAAAGACAAAATTCGTGACACAGAATGAAACGTTCATTATAACAGAATAATAAATAAGCTGAGATAAAAGTATATTGAGCCAGACTGCCATGGTATTCCCATAATCAATTGTTAAATAGATATGAGTTAATCTAAGGAAAGTATATTTCTATAATTAAACAAAGCACACATGTTTATGTATTCTGAAGTTAAAGTACTTAATACTGATATATTAATGTATATGTATATCTATATTGTAAACTACTAAATAATAATGTCAGAACGAAGATAACGTCTTACAGATTTTTTTATCACATCCAATTATGAATCAATAATTAATATTATTAAACAATTTTGTTTACTATCAATACGTTTATTATTCCTTTTGAAACTGCCATACAATTTTATTTAACCAACGGGTGCAAAAACCTGGGCGCTCAAGAGAGAAGACGAAGAAAAGACTTTCAAGAAGGAAGGATTCATATTTTACTTATGATTTCTTACAAAGGGGGAACGGACTGTACTTCCATATACGGACTAGTTCCAAATCGCGTGAAAATCCGAACAAAAAAATTCCCGTAAGTTCCCGTAAATGCCCATTTGTATTTGAACAAAAATACGGAAAAGTATCAATGGTGTAAAGGTATGAACAGTTGTCTGACGACTTAGAGTTGGGTAGTCTAATTTAACTTACCCTTATTTGTAGGCGCATATTAAATTGCAATGAATTATTAAAATATTGCAATATAATAAGTTAAGTGACAAAAGTTTATGATTAAAAAAAATTCTAAAATTTATGAAAAACGATTGACACAAAAAAATCTTTACACATTTTTGAGATACATCGGCGTCGTGTGAATTACCAACATTTATAAAATAATTGTTCAATTCGACATTTTATTAGAGAATTTCAATACTATTTATGCAAATAATTCACAAAAAAATTCGCTAAATGAAACATACTCAAATGACATAAAATGCGACGAAAACGCAAAATTACATTTTAATATCGTATATTCTTAAAACTTAGTTAAATCTTGACTGTTGAACTTATTTTTCAATAAACTGCTAATATAATTTAAAAAAAATCCTCAAAATATTAACAAAAAGATGCAAACGTCAAAAATGTCACAATAATTTATTTTTCTTTTTGCATAATTATGTAAATGAAGCAAGTAAATAAACAACATAGTTGGGATTAAGGCAAAAACCAATAATTATTACTAATCAAGCAATACAAAAAAAAAAGAAGATGTTAAACTTCTTAAACTTACCTTGCTTCAAGTTCACTGAAGGTAATTGGCTGTGTGTGGTACCTATCACTATTCCGGTTAAGACTCGATCTTTTTGGTACGGCTCCAGTGGATGGCATGTTCTTCTCGAAATTTTTAATCATTTCACAAACTGAGAGAGGTCGAGTGTTTTGGGGACTCGATTCGTCGCTACCACATTTGTTCATGACATTTTCTACATCTACATCTGTACTGATAGTGTGTGACCTTCGTGCTATCTTTCTTTTCCTGAAGACAACGTGACTATCATCAAATTTCGTGTACTGGTTATCTTCGCAGAAAGAAAGTCGTGGTCTGGGGGAATTTTCTCTAGATGGTTGTTTTAAGATCGGTTTGACCTCAAATTCTTCATCTTGGCAAGATTTAAACGCAGAAGAGGCAGGTCTTGACACTTCCGAATTGTCTGAAGAATCCCTTTCTTCGTACGAACTTCGAGAATGTTTCAAAATAGGTTTCTTAGGTTTATCTTCTAGTGGTTCCTTTTCGACACTGGATTTCTTCTTTAAGATTGGCTTAGGAGTTTCGACACTGCTTGGTTCTGTAACGGATAGCTCATCTGAGCTCTTCTTTTTAAGGATTGGCTTTACGGTTTCGTTGGCTTCCAGGACCATTTCAGCACCTCCAGCAGCTGCCAAAATCACTGCAGTTGTTATGGAAATATGAGGAGCATTGCTGCTAGATCCTGCGCTACTGACACCTGATCTTCTCTTAAGAATTCCCTGTGGTTCCGGTGAGTTTAGTGGTGTGTAAACTTCATCGTCATTTCGGAATATTTTACGTTTCAAAATGCTTTGTAAAGCATCGGGAGATTTAGATCGGATCATTTCCAGAGATGATCTTCGTTGATCTTTTAAAATGGATCGAGACTCTTGTTTACCTTCGGGGCTACAACTTCGTTGCCTGTGTACATGCGATTCGTCGAGACTTCTGCGCTTTTTAAGAATCCCTTGTTTTCTCAACGAGGACGACGAATGGTCAATGACACTTGGGGAAAATGTAACTGGAAGATTTGAAGCGGAACCAGCCGCTGAATTGGAAATTTTGTGATCTTCGTGGGAAGATTTTCTTTTTAAAATCGAAACAGGTACATTAACTGATGCTGTTATTGGTGTAGAGTGTTCGACTATTTCATCTGAAAGTTTCTTTTTCAGGATAGAAGGTGGACGTCTCTCATCATCACTCGATCTATTTGAAACATGTTTAAAGCTGTGCGTCGGCGTAGAAGATGAGACTTCGTTGTCAGATATTTTATCATATATTTTTGATGAAGAACTCGAACGGCCATTAGAAAATGTAGCATGAGACAATTTTTCAACCCTCGCTAATGTCTCCCTCGTCAATGCCGTCAATTCGTCCATTCTCTTAGAAACACTTGAAAGGCGGGATAATTTATCTGACTGGCAGACATCAGCCGATTTAGTCCTACCATCTTTACGAACATTATAATTATTAACTTTAATTATGTCCTTATCGCTAGTGTTATGCTTAATGTTTTCTTTATTGCCTACTTTAGAAAGAAATTTGTCCTTATCGGTAACACTATGACTAAGTTCGTTTTCTACTGCACTAAAAGGCTTGTATTTTTCTCTTGTATTAATCGTGGCAGTTTTCGATGATGGGGTTCGGTATTTTCCCATTTCAGAGTATGACGGTAAAATACCCTTTCGAGCGTTTTGCATGTGAATACTAAGTTCGGATCTTCTAGGAGGGCTTCGCGTTCTTGATGAGGTAGTGCTAAGTGAAGACGTTGGAGATGCGATGCAGGCAGTGTCGTTATCACTTTTACGGTTTCCATCGCTCGAGTAAGCTTCTTTGGTCTGCTCTAAAACTTCTGATGGGAAAAATCGACGTCTTCTTCTTCGACTTATATTGTCCTCTGAAAACCAATGATTATAACATAAGTATGAACATAAATAAAGTTTATGCAACAAAAATAACTATCTGTAACATAATCTAATCTAGTGCAAATATAATTCATTTTTATGTACCTGTTTCAAAAAATATTATAAACGAATCATTGCAACTTGTAATTTATTATTAATTTTAAATGATTTGTATCTGTGAGTTAAATTTAACTAAAAAGTCATTCAAATGCCTATTAAGGTTAAATTAAATTGAAGTCATTTTCTGTAAACTTTCAATTGGTTGTTTTGTTTGAAGATTTATTTTATAAAGTTGAGAACTTCTTGTAAATGGTTGAGGGAATATCGTAATTTAAAATAATACAAATCTACTTAAGTACAAATAAGCTTAAGGTATTATGTTTAGTAAACTTTATCACAATATTATTTCAGACTCATCGTCAAATCGTTACGATTGTCTATTATACAACTTGGGGGAAAAGAAAAGGTTAGAAGCGTTCGAAATGTTGTGTTACAGGCGAATGATGAGGATACAGTGGATAGAGAAGGTTAGAAATTGAGAGGTATTAGAAAGAATAGGAGAACAGAGGACTCTATGGAAGTCAATAAAAAAT